GGCAAAGTCCGAAGTGCCACAGACGCCGCTGAAAGGACGATCAGGGTCTGACAGCGCCAGTATTGGTGCGTGCAGGAGGCTGTCTTTGACCCCGTCAAAAGCAACACCATTCCGCATCCTTTTAAGGAGATTGGATAATGGCCGCGCCATTCTCGTAATTTACGCTGTACTGGTGCAAGTAATTGGCAAGACCAAGCCACTTACGCAATTCCTTCTGGTTCTTTTGAACCGACCAATCTACAATGGCCTTTTACTTAGCGAGATCCACTCGAAGGCCACGCTTTCCAATGAAGCACCCTAAAAAGGGAGTCTCTTCTGCACAAAAGATGCAGTTTGTTCGTGCGCATGCACTCGAGCACCGCTAATAAATGGACGATGTGGCTCTCCTCATCTGTCCTCCGGTGCTCCGCATCACTATGAACGAAAATGTCGTCTAAGAATGTCTGTGCACATGCCCTGTGGGGCCTGAGCAACTGCGTCACAAGACGATTAAATGCTGCTGGTACATTTACAACCCTCGGGGCGTCACTAGCCACTCCCAGAGCATGCCGCTCGGAGTGCTCACCGCTGTTAGCGGAATATCACTCGCTCTCATGAGCAATTGGTAATACCCATCGACCAAGCCGAGTGTACTGTACTTTGTACATTCTATTATGTTGTGATGAAGAATGTCCTTTCTAGGAATCGACGCCTGTGCCGGAATGGTGTCCGCATTGAGCTTATTGTAAGCATGAAAGATACACCTCTTGCCGTTCGGCTTCCAACCACAAAACGTGGGAGATGAATGGGGAGACTTGCTCTCACGTACCATTCCTGCTTCGTGCTTCGCACAAAAAATGCGTCAATGGCGTCGCACTGCTCCTTGGGCAGGGGCCATTGGCGTGTTACGCAGTATTTGGTTTCCGAATCCAGGCCGATCTCATGACGCACACGTCCGGAGGTAAGACCGAAGACTGGTCTTTGAAGACGACGTCTTGAAATTCCTTTACCAAAGGATAGAACGGATCCAAGGGATTCGGGAGGATCGACAATTCACTTCGTGAGTTTAGCACTCTCTTGGTGTCATCCTAGACAGCTTCATCCAGAAGCGATGACGAGTGTATCTACTTGTCCGGTCGTTCAATGACCACTTCAGCCATACCGCCTACTGCCGATCTCTTCAAGGGACATCTTTTCCAGCTCAAGAAGAGCATCTATTGCAGGCGTCGCCTCGAGGCGGACGTCGCCATCTTCCACCCCCCCGTCATACCGTTGACAAGGATGTATAACTGTACGCCATCGTCTACTGTAGACACACCCTGGATCAGGGTCGGCGCCCGGAGTCTTGCAGCCAGCATACGGCGTCGCCGTCGCCTGTGTACAGAGGTTCTATGTCTCGGTGAGACCAGGGTGAATTCGCACTCCGCGTTGTCCGGTGTCACCCTCACTGTCCGCTCTTTTAGAGCTCCGATGTCATCTGCAACATCCTACGATGAGCTGCTAACACCGCAGTCATTGTCCAGTGGATACCGTGCCACTCCACGCGCATCTGAAGGGCCATTCCCAAGATGCCTCGGACTCTGTCCGACCACGCAATCAATGGCATGCAGCGACTGCTTCGCAACGAGAGCAGTGCCCAGTGGTTTCGTGCCACTCCACGCGCATCACGAGGGCCGTGCCCAAGATGCCTCTGCACTTGGCCGACCATGTCACGTATGACATGCAGCGACTGCTCCGAGACTTGAGCAGCGCTCAGTGGGTTACGTGCCACTCCACGATCAGCCCGCGAGCCACGCT